CTCCTTAAGGGAACTCCATCTCCTAACCGGAGCCTAAATACTGTAACGGACCCCCGCACCCAACCGACTAGCTGTTGTAAAAAATCCAAAAATGAATTCACCCCCAGTACTTCCGAAATTCCTCTCATAGACTTGACGGAATCTTCTCCCATCACCGTTCCCAGCTTCCCATCATCTTCCCACTACGAATTCACCCCCATTTCCTATTCCCCCGTTCCCCCAGAAGACGACACGGACTACGACGAAATCCTGAAATCAATGGAATACTATATCGAAATTAACAGGCCCTCTTCTCCTTCCCCATAATCACAACCATACACACACACCTTAGAACATATACACATGGAACACTCATTGCCTATACCGCCAATGCATTGAGCTGAAGCCAAGATAGGTGCGAGAGAGAAAAGTATAGAAGACCTAAAATTCGCAATGCGCATGTTCAGTTCCGTCATTCCGTTCGTCAATCCATTGGAACGAATGGAACAACGTAATAGATGGAATCACCTGACGAAATTGAGCATGCGCATTGCGAATTTTAGTTCTTCTATACCTTTCTCTCTCACACCTATCTTGGCTTCAGCCTGAGCGTCCTATTATCATTCCATGTGTATATGTTCTAAGACACACACACATACAACCGTATAGTAAAACATAGACATATTCACGTAATCTCCGTTGTCAATTAACTATGCTAATAGATAAAAAGGATAATACAATGCAATTTATAATTAAGGAAATGTATAAAATATTGTAATCCATAAATTGTTAAGTTATATTAAATATTAGTTGTAATTTAAATTGAGTCACCCTTCATTCTCTAACCCTTCCGACTCATTTCTTCACCTCGAAGATCATACGGGTCCTATCCCTGGTTATAAGGATTAAGTTCCTTGACCAAAAATAAGGACCAACGGTGGCACTGTCTTGGGCGGCGTAACAGCGCTTCGTATTTGCGTTTACCCGCACCAAAGACTCGCACAAGTGCTTCCAAGTTGTGGTACGCGTTCACGGAGCGATAAGCCACAAAAAGCGGTACAAGTTGCGCTTTTGGCCCCCTACCTTGGCCCCCTCCTAATTCCTTCTTTCCATTAAGACAAAAAATACTTTTGGGGCCTGAACGTAACAACAACAAAGGAAGGGTTTTCTATATCGTATCGTAACTGGCGATGAAAAATGGATCTACCACGATAACCCTAAACGCTTGAAAGCATGGG